CATGTTTCTTGATTAACAGATCACCGAGGGCAGCACAAGATGGGAAAGTATCAGAGGAGGTGTGGACAGACAGTGAGGTAGACTACTGTGGTTTGAGAGTGTTTGGATGTCCAGCCTATGTACATGTTTCTAGTGAGGAGAGGTCGAAGCTTGATGCGAAGTCTAGACAGTGTATCTTTCTGGGATATCAGAAAGGAGTGAAAGGCTTCAAGCTCTGGGATCCGAAGGCAAACAAGATGGTGATCAGTAGAGATGTGGTTTTTGATGAAAAAGCCATGTTGCAGCGTACTCAGGAAGAAGAGAAACAAGTACCAGAAAATTGTAGCACTAATGACCATGTGGTGCAGGTGGAGCTAGAGAATCATGGTAAAGAAGAGGATGCTCAGCATGTAGAGCGTTCTATCTCAGGTGATCAACAACATCATAGTATAGCCACAGACAGGCCCAAACGCAATATCAAGCCACCTACCAGGTATGGTTTTGAAGATTTGGTTTCTTATGCGCTTATTACTAGTAGCGGGGATCCTACAACTTTTCAGGAGGCAGTACAAAGCCAAGAGAAAAGTAGATGGATGGGTGCTATGGTTGAGGAGATGAAGTCTCTGCATAAGAACCAGACGTTGGAGTTGGTGGAACTTCCCGAGGGGAAGAGAGCAATAGAGTGCAAATGGGTGTATAAGAATAAAAAAGCAGTATCAGAAAATGAGGGAGAAAAATTCAAGGCTCGTCTAGTAGCAAAGGGTTACTCACAGAGAAAAGGGGTTGACTATGATGAGATCTTCTCCCCCGTGGTCAGACACACTTCCATCAGGACAGTGTTGGCACTAGTAGCACATTCAGATATGCAGTTGGAGCAGATGGATGTAAAGACAGCTTTCCTTCATGGCAACTTGGAGGAACGGATTTACATGGTATAGCCAGAAGGGTTCAGTCTCTCTGGAGAGGAACATTTGGTCTGTAATTTGAAGAAATCACTTTATGGGCTGAAGCAGTCTCCGAGGCAGTGGTACAAACGATTTGACTCTTACATGATCCGAATTGGCTACAAAAGGTGTGAGTATGATTGTTGTGTCTATGTAAAAAGGCTTGATGATGATTCATTTATTTTTCTGTTACTTTATGTGGATGATATGTTGATTGCTGCCAAGAGTATGAGTGAGGTCAACAAGTTGAAGACTTTGTTGAGTAGAGAATTTGACATGAAGGATTTGGGTGCGGCCAAGAAGATTCTTGGGATGGAGATTCGCAGGGACAGAGCTTCCAGGAGATTATGGCTATCTCAGCATAGCTATGTTGAGAAGGTGTTGGACAGGTTCAGCATGAGTTATGCAAAATCAGTAAGTACACCTTTGGCGAATCATTTCAGATTGTCTACCGCTCAGTGCCCGAAGACAGATGATGAAGTTCATGACATGTCAAAGGTCCCATATGCTAGTGCAGTGGGGTGTTTGATGTATGCTATGGTTTGTACAAGACCAGATTTGGCACAAGCTGTCAGCGTGGTTAGCAAGTTTCTTTCAAATCCGGGTCGACAGCATTGGGATGCAGTCAAGTGGATTTTCAGATACTTGAGGGGCACTACAGACTATGGCATCAGGTTTAGCAGACAACAGAGTGACCCTTCAGTTATGGGATATGTGGATGCAGACTATGCAGGGGACTTGGATGACAGGAGGTCTACCACAGGTTATGTGTTTACTCTTGTGGGAGGACCTATTTGTTGGAAGTCCATGGTACAGCCTATAATTGCACTATCTACTACTGAGTCAGAGTATATGGCAGTAGCTGAGGCTGCCAAAGAGGCTTTGTGGCTTACAGGTTTAGTCAAGGAGCTGGGTGCCCAGCAAGGTGGAGTTCAATTGCATTGTGACAGTCAGAGTGTCATTTATTTGGCAAAGAACCAGGTGTATCATGCGAGGACCAAACATATAGATGTGAGGTTTCATAAGATCAGGAAACTGGTTTCTTCTGATGAACTATTACTTGAGAAAGTTCACACTTCTGAGAATACAACAGACATGTTGACAAAGCCTGTTACTATAGACAAGTTCAAGCACTGCTTGGACTTGATTAATGTCTCTAGTTGCTAGATGGGAGATGCCTCAACTCAGCGTCCTCGGTGGAGTTCTCGAATACATGTCTTCTTTGTTTTTTCTTCTAAGGGGTGAATATTTGCCAAGGTGGAGATTGTTAGAGTATGTATGACTCATATTTGTTGTGTGCATAATGGCAAGGAGGCAGATGCCGGAGTGGAATTTATATAAAGGGGACGCTGATTAGTTGGGGGTGCGGAGGCAACGCCCCTGCGGTACGGTACAGGGGTATTTTTGTAAATACGTCCATATTAGGGTTATATAAATACTTAAGATGTAACTCTACTTCAATAACGGAAAAGAACGGCCGTTCGCTCTCGTGGATGTTGGCATATTGCCGAACCACGTAAATCTCTGTATGTTATTTTCTCCTGTTTTCTTAATTGTTTGATTTCTTATTATTCACCATAATTGCTGCACGATCACAACAAATCTCTCTCAACATTTTTCAAAATGCTTTCATTTCTGAACTGACTGAAACTATGCATCCTTACAAAATTTTTATTCTTGATTAATAGGTACATGATATGGAAACTCAAAGCGTAGTTCATCTGTCTCAAGCCAGAATTTTCTCACAAAATAGAATATACCTTGCATTTCTGGGAGGAATTCCAAGGGCTGCTGCAGCACTCCCAGCTATTAAACTATAATAACTCTCCATCTTCTGAGGGTTTAATCCAAAACCCTGAAACCATATGTTTCCACACTAATTAAGTTCCATTCGCTTTTTCCGAGTGCACGTGGTGCGGGGTACGTTCATGAAAACATTACCCTTATGATTTTTGAATTTCCAAGATATATGTTGGACTGGAGTTCCCGATCCATAGAGCTTGCACCAACGGTGAGGATCCATGGAGCAACGTTGGTTGCAGTACCTGGAAAAAAGAAATTCCCACCAGATGCAGAAACAAGAATTCCTTTCTGAAATGCATGGAAAGTCCCAATTGAGATTGGATCTTCGAAGTAGCTACGCAGGGGCGGCAGAGGGCCAAGGGAAAGAGAGAGAATGTCAACACCATCATCAATTGCATCGTCAAGGGCAGAGAGAATGTCAGCAGCGCTGCACCCGCCAAACCAGCAAGCCTTGTAGATAGCAAGTCTAGCACAAGGTGCACCACCTCTAGCAGAACCACCTCCTATCCCAAGTAAGCTGGCGTTGGCAACTGGTGATCCTGCCACCGTTGAGGCAGTGTGAGTTCCATGCCCATCACTGTCTCTAGGTGACTGAAAGAAGGTACGATTAGTAGATTCAAGAGGCCCATTTTCTGCTTCATACCCTTTGGAGTAGAATCAAGCTCCTACGATTTTCCTGAAAAGAGGAGTTCAAATGTTACTGTCGAGGTTTGCATTTACAAGGTAACTATAGTGTAGCAATATGTGCTTATATACTACTAGATGATTACCAAAATGTTGCTTACCTGTTGCAGTTGGATGATGTAAAAGCATCCCCAGTTACACAGCCTCCCTTGAATTTTTTGGGCACAGGCCCTAATCCGGAATCACTGAAGCTATGGGACTCGGGCCAAACTCCTGAAAATAAGAAGTAATAAAATTTCTATTGGAGTGATGATGATGATGGTGATAGTAAAACAAGATTCAACGAAGTACAAATTTATTGAACACTTACCGGTGTCGATGACACCAACTATAACATTGGACTTCACCTCCATTGGCAGTTGATTATACTGTTGAATATAGTCTATTCCCAAAATTTGCCATGAATGTGTTGTGTGGATCTTATTCATTCTGCTCTCAAACACAGATACAACTGAATTTCTTTCTGCAGCGCATATAACCTAAGAACTAGGATAGACACATTTATAGTGTAATAGATGATTTTTATTCAGTTGGTCATTCCCAATGATAACTGTGACTGTTTGTAGGATTTCAATAGGACGAGTTTTTAGATATGTTGATATCGCAGCACATTCTGTATATTTCTGTCTTGCTCTGGTAAATTCTCAGGTAGTCTGGTGTGAATCATATTCAACCTATAGGTTGATAGAAATGAGCACAGAAAATTTGAGCCATGTTCCTTAATAACAAGTGTTCTCTGCAGTCCTAGGGTTATTCATATTTCCTGCAATATTTATTCTCTCTCTTTTTTTTCTGTCTTTTTACCATTGCATTTGTCGACTAGGAAATATATATAGTAGCATATAATTGGGTCCCTACTGGTATTGAGAGGACATGAGCATGGACTCGGGCAGACCTGCTAGCCTTTGAGTTTGATCTGTTGTAAGCATTGCTGAGAAGCCCCTGAAACTTTTCGTGTAATGGTGAACTGCAACTTCTTGTGCTCCATCAATACTGAAATTCCATGGAAGGGAACAGTTAACATTAAGTTTTTATGGGAAACTTATTATCATCTATCCTTCTCTTTTGCTAAAGATTGGCATGACAATTGTATATCTTTGATTTTGCATTCACGGACATATATGAAGAACTGGAATGGAAATTGAGATAAAGAGTAATGATCTGTCTTAGTGTCATACCTTCCAACAACTGAAGCGAGCACCTCATGGTTTTCTGTGATCACCGATTCCGAATTGGGGTGTGAGTGATGCCCCATGTTGGCAATGTAATGCTGCAGATTAATAGAAAATGCACCAAATTAGTCATCATACACTTGTTTGCTTGCTTAAAATGGTTTATACAGCTAGACTCTTATTTTGATAATAGCTCTTGATGCACAAAAGTTGAAATTGAATCAACCAACTTGAAACACAGTGTTTTACAGGTGTATTCTATGTACTCTTAATTTCATAATAAACACATAGTGCATACTTGGAGAAATTAGTGTTGTATATAGTTATTGGATATTTTCTTTGCTTTGAGCTGATCACTGCTGTTTTGGGTATACTTTTATACTTGTAACTACTTTGTAATACCAATTGGATACTAATAGCAACTCGCGCAACATAAGTGTTGAAATAATGATTCTCAGTTCTCTTGTTCTCTCTTTTATCATATGCACAAAAACATACGCACACAAAAAAGGGCAAGATCACACACATATACAAGTTACCTTTGTGTTAGCGATGACTCCATGAACCAATGGAAACCTAAAGAGAAAGAGAAGAGTGAAAAGTTTAACGAATTTCATGGTGTTAGAATAAATCCTGCTAATGACTGTCATGGTGTCTGGGTATTTCCTTCTAAGCAAATGACAGAGTACACAAGTAGGTGTGCTGGAAGAAGCTTAGACGGTGGTGATATTTGTTGTTGAATAAAAGTCTCCTTTATGATTGAAAAAATTGAACTTTCTAATCAAAATACAGAAATCCTCAAAAAAAATAATATTATCTAAACGCCACTTTTCCTGATCTTGGCCACACATTTGCTAAAGAACAAATACAAGAGTACTAAAACTATTCAAAGGGAAGACTTCTCTAATTGAAAATTCAGCTGTTTTAGTTTGAATTGCTTTCTGAATATGCTGTATCGAAATGAAGCTTCCAGAGAATTATGCTCATTGAATAATTGATATCTTACTTCAAACAATTCTACCACGGCGCTTATTTGAAAAAATCAAATAAAATAGAAAGATTGTCTTCTATATCGATGTGTTTGTCATTGTTTATGGTTTTTTCTGGTCATTATCTATCTCTTTGTTAATCATTTTATATAGTCAAGGACGGAAGATTTCATCCTCCAACTATCAAAATTTAACAATATTGAAACAATTAATGTTATTGTAAAATTTGAGAATTTTAATCTTTCAGAGTGTGAATTGAAAATATGAAGACTTTTCGGGGTGCAAAGTGCTATTTACCTTGTATACTATTTGGTTCATCCCAAGTTGGTGGTATTGTTAGATCAGATGCTACTGTAGCGCTCGACGGGTCTTGATAAAATTATTAAGACTGGACCCTACAACTTGAACAAAATCTGGTAATAAGTTATCACTAACTAGAAATTTTTTTTTTGGAATACTTCAAGTAGTGTGCAGATATTTTTCGAAAAAATTGTATTTTGTCATTCTTTCCCCCACTGATTCCTATAATTACACTTTGAACCCCATTTGTTATTGTACTTCACAATTTCATGTAATGTTCAACAACTAGAATACAATCATGCATTATTCACCTCAATCTTAGATAGGTCATCTGAGGGTTCGCTATAGTTCATTATTGCTTTTTGACCGTATTATTCACCACGATCAAATCCCGTCCACATTCAGGATTGGGCAGAGGCCCTAAATCAATAGAACAATATCATAGTTATTATTAACTTGATCCCTATCAATTAAAGACAGGCCTATTTTCTAGAGGCAAGAACACTTTCCGATCAAGTCTCATTAATTGATCATAATGATGTCGTTGAAATGCTGCACAGATCCATATATATAGGAATAGAAATAGAAATAAGCCACCGCCAGATGAAATAACGGTTTACAATAGAGCGACCCGAGACATCGAGCGAAGAGCTCCAATGCGCATATTTAGAGCTACGCGAATGTTGTAGTCGCAGAAACTGGATCAACATCATGACAATGGCATTCTGTAAACCCTTTTGTTTTCAATGGGCCCCATTTGTATCCCATCCAACGATCCTACTTGTGTCGACCAACCAAGCAGATATGATTATGTCTCTTTATTTCTTATTGTCACTGACATTAAGGTTTACTCTCTCTTGTTGCTTGTTTCACTCCCTTCTATGAAGAGCCAACAATTTCTGTTTCCTTCCTCTGCCCTACTTTTTGGTAACGTGAACAAACACACTGTTTGGATTGATTTCAGTTTTGAAGGAATGTAGATAAAAGGGCCTGATGACATCGATTTCAATAGTTAGAGGGTTAAATTGAAAAACAAATATAATTTAAGGACTTAATTTATACAAAAAATATAAGCTCCAGGGCTAATTCTGTTAGGACTGATGCTCTAAACACCTTAGCGAGGATCAAGATCCTCAATTTTTGCATAGTGTTGCATGTCTTGAAGAGGGCCAAGGGTGCAATTAATCCTATTTCAAAACAACAAAATAAAAATAGAAAGGTCGTCTTCTAATCAATGTGTATGCCATTATTTTTGTTTTTTCGGGTCATCATCTGTTTGTCATTGTGGAAGGAGCTGAAATAAACCATTTCCATAGTCCAGAATCGAAGCTTTCACCTTGCACCTATCAAATTTTAGCAATACTAAAACAATTAATTTTATTGTAAAATATTACATTCAACAATACACGTTTGACCCATTAAACTTTGACTATTTTTTCATTTTACCCCATCAACTATTGAATTTTTCACATTGCCCCTCAACTATTTTGATTATTTCATAATACCCCAATCGCAAACGTCCATTATCTTTGTGGATGAAAATTGCTAATGTGTTGGAGCAATTTGAAATAAATTATATAGTTTGGGGGACTAAGTAAAATTATTTTATGTTAAATATGTAACGGACGATAGTAATTAGGATAATATGAAATTAATCACATAATTGAAAGGACAAAGTAAAAAAATGTCATAATTGAAATCAAAAGTGTAATTTTACCTTAAAATCGTCAATTATCCTATTTTTATATACAATTGTTTATATAATACTCAATTTAAAGTATTAAGCAATCAGACTCAGACTAGTCTTGCTAAAATTATAAAGACTGGACTCTATAACTTGAACAACGTCTGGTATTACGCTATCACTAACTGCAAAAAAAAAAAAAAAAAGTTGGACTACTTCAAGCAGTATACAAACATTTTCCTAAATACAGTATTTTGTCATTCTTTCCCCATTGATTCATATAATTACAATTTGACCCCCATTTATTGTACTTCGCAATTCCATGTAATGGTCATCAACTATAATACAATCATGCTTTTTTCACTTCAATGATCACGCATTTGTGTGTATTTTAATGTCATTTCTATATTTATAAATTTTTGGGCAATTGCAAAGCTAATGAGATTGAAATCAAGAAAAATCTATTGTCAAATATGCAGGATAAAATAACGCATTTGTTTGGTTTGATTTTGTACACAAATGACAAAATAGCGCATGTGCTGCAAGAATGATGTTCTTCAACAACATAGAACATTATATGCCATGATAAAAGTGGAAAATGTGTTAGTTTCTTCGTCCTTGCAAAAACATCTTTAGATCAGCAAATCAAGTCAATTTTTTCGGTCCCAATAGCAAAATATGTATTCAAAAACAAATAGCATATATTGGAAAAGAAGATTTTCAAACTAGAAGCATACATTGTAATGAGCTATATTTGGGTACTCTCTCTCTTTCTCTCTCTCTCTCTCATTTACTAAAACACAACAAATTTCAGAAGTATTAGTAGATTCACTCATTCCCCCACAGAAAGTACATTAAGGGCAATGGGACTCCTTACCCTGTGGATGCCATTGCTCCATGTCAAAGCTCCAAACACAAAGCTTCCATTACTACTCTTGTAAGGAGTGAAATCTATCCTGAAAGATATCTTCTCCCCAAACTCTGCAAACTTGAGCTCATTTGGTGTAACTGTAACATTTACATTGCTTGGATATTCTAGTTGTGCACGATAAATTGTCGCCCCTTCACCATAGTAGGTGACCGTTCGATGCACCAATAAACTTCCATTCATGTTGGATACCCCGATTGATGGGTAGTTGAGATCGTATGATGGTTTAGGAGGATTCTTGCAGTGAGTTAGCTTGCCTGTGAGGTTTTTCAGTTGTGCAGAGCTTGCACCAGTGCTGCAGAGGAAATCAATGATGTTGCTGGAATCAAAATAGTAAATTAGTCCAGGATTTATAGCTGCAACTGGATTTATATGCCCAGATCCATAGTCAAAAGGCGTGGTTTGGGTGCCACTGGGATTTCTTTTAATGAAGTTTCGAGTGTTATCTAGGACTGTCGCTGCCAGGAATAAAAGATGTGAATCTTAGAAACAACAATATTGATGCTTAACCTTTAAATAAAAGAAAAAAAATCTGTTTTTTAAGAACTTACCTGTTGTCATAATTGCAGACTTTATTGCTGCTGGGCTCCAAGAAGGATGACACGACTTTATAATAGCTGCCACTGCAGAAACATGTGGACAAGACATGGAAGTACCAGAAATTATGTTATAGTCAAGTGTTCGTCCAGCTGTGAATTGTGTTGCTATTGGAGACCATGCTGCCAAAATATTCACCCCGGGTGCTGTAACATCGGGCTGCAAAAATAAAAATTGCAGGTACCAGGTAGAATTTATGGATTTTGATGTTTTACTAAATACACCACAGCTATAGAATGCCCTTTATCACTGACGGTATGGCATTAAATTTTGAAACAGGTGAAATTCATGTTATATCAGAATCAAATTGCAAATATTATCAAGTTCTTGTAAAACCTACTTTGATGATGTCTGGTGTTATAATGTTTGGACCCATTGAAGAGAACCCTGCCATCCTTGGTGCGGGTTTAGTAAATAGAATTGTCTGCGTCGGGAAGATCCTAGCCACTGGCTTCCGGTAATAATCGAAGAATCATACTAATGCATAATTCTCTAATTTTGACAATGTAGAGTTACACTTCTTATTTTCAATATTGTTATTCTTGTCTACAAGTCCTTTAAAACCGAAGAAAGAATATTCGGAACCTACTTTTCTGTAGCCATATATGCCTGAAGCTCTTCTGCTGCATCTTGATAAATAAGAGTGGCCGGGATTGCAAACTGATAGCTGAGGTCTATTCCCACCGGATCAATAAGTATCACCCCAAGACCACCACCTTGTTCCACAAAAATGGCCTTTTCTGTGAGGTCTTCAACAAGGATCTCAACTGTGCACACAACGACCTTCCCCTTAATTAAGGTAGGATCTAGAGTATTGTTCTTGCAGAAGCTGGAAAAAAAAAACAAGCAAGAAAGACAAAGCACCAAAAAATAGATAAATGAAGTTAAAAAAAAATGTGTCAATTTTGGTCATTGTCATTCTTTCAACAGCTCCCCAAGGGCAAGGATGGGAGTTCTTGAATAAAATGGGTGGAGATGGTCATACAACAACCAGTCCAACATTATTGGATGTCCTTAAGGGGATACTGAGCATGAACTAGTGATGCAAGCAAGTGTCAAAATTTTATTTCGTAAGAAAACCAAGATGAATAAACTCTCTCCATTCTGTTTGCAGAACTTTTTCAAAACGTTTTCATTTCCAAACCAGTTGAAACTATGCATCGAAACTAGATTGTTATTCTTGATTAATAGGTACGTGATATGGAAATTTCAAAGCATACTTTATCTGTTTGAAGCTAGAATTTTCTCAGAAAAAATTAGAATATACCTTGCATTTCTGGCGGGAATTCCAGGGGCTGCTGCAGCACTCCCAGCTATTAAACCATAATAGCTCTCCATCTTCTGAGGGTTTAAACCAAAACCCTGAAACCATAAATTTCAAAACTAATTACAGTTCCATATACTTTTTCCGAGTGCCGGTGGTGTGAGGAACATACATGAAAACATTACCCTTATGCTTTTTGAATTTCCAAGGTATATGTTGGACTGGAGTTCCCGGTCAATAGTGCTCGCACCAACGGTGAGGATCCATGGAGCAACATTAGTTGCAGTACGTGGAAAAAAGTAATTCCCAGCAGCTGCAGAAACAAGAATTCCTTTTTGAAATGCATGGAAACTCCCAATTGAAATTGGGTCTTGGAAGTAGCCAGGCTCGGACTGCAGTTGGCCAATGGAAAGAGAAAGAATGTCAACACCATCATCAATTGCATCGTCAAGGGCAGAGAGAATGTCAGCACCACTGCACCCGCCAAACCAGCAAGCCTTATAGATAGCAAGTCTAGCACCAGGTGTACCACCTCTAGCAGAACCACCTCCTATCCCAAGTAAGCTGGCATTGGCGACCAGTGATCCTGCCACCGTTGAGGCAGTGTGAGTTCCATGTCCATCACTGTCTCTAGGTGACCGAAAGAAGGTACGATTAATAGATTCAAGAGGCCCAAATTCTGCTTCAAACCCTTTGGAGTNGGAAAAAAAAAACAAGCAAGAAAGACAAAGCACCAAAAAATAGATAAATGAAGTTAAAAAAAAATGTGTCAATTTTGGTCATTGTCATTCTTTCAACAGCTCCCCAAGGGCAAGGATGGGAGTTCTTGAATAAAATGGGTGGAGATGGTCATACAACAACCAGTCCAACATTATTGGATGTCCTTAAGGGGATACTGAGCATGAACTAGTGATGCAAGCAAGTGTCAAAATTTTATTTCGTAAGAAAACCAAGATGAATAAACTCTCTCCATTCTGTTTGCAGAACTTTTTCAAAACGTTTTCATTTCCAAACCAGTTGAAACTATGCATCGAAACTAGATTGTTATTCTTGATTAATAGGTACGTGATATGGAAATTTCAAAGCATACTTTATCTGTTTGAAGCTAGAATTTTCTCAGAAAAAATTAGAATATACCTTGCATTTCTGGCGGGAATTCCAGGGGCTGCTGCAGCACTCCCAGCTATTAAACCATAATAGCTCTCCATCTTCTGAGGGTTTAAACCAAAACCCTGAAACCATAAATTTCAAAACTAATTACAGTTCCATATACTTTTTCCGAGTGCCGGTGGTGTGAGGAACATACATGAAAACATTACCCTTATGCTTTTTGAATTTCCAAGGTATATGTTGGACTGGAGTTCCCGGTCAATAGTGCTCGCACCAACGGTGAGGATCCATGGAGCAACATTAGTTGCAGTACGTGGAAAAAAGTAATTCCCAGCAGCTGCAGAAACAAGAATTCCTTTTTGAAATGCATGGAAACTCCCAATTGAAATTGGGTCTTGGAAGTAGCCAGGCTCGGACTGCAGTTGGCCAATGGAAAGAGAAAGAATGTCAACACCATCATCAATTGCATCGTCAAGGGCAGAGAGAATGTCAGCACCACTGCACCCGCCAAACCAGCAAGCCTTATAGATAGCAAGTCTAGCACCAGGTGTACCACCTCTAGCAGAACCACCTCCTATCCCAAGTAAGCTGGCATTGGCGACCAGTGATCCTGCCACCGTTGAGGCAGTGTGAGTTCCATGTCCATCACTGTCTCTAGGTGACCGAAAGAAGGTACGATTAATAGATTCAAGAGGCCCAAATTCTGCTTCAAACCCTTTGGAGTAGAATCGAGCTCCTACAATTTTCCTGAAAAGAGTAGTTTCAAATGTTACTGTCGAAGTTTGCATTTACAAGGTATTATAGTGTAGCAATATGTGCTCATATGTTACTAGATGATTACCAAAATGTTGCTTACCTGTTGCAGTTGGATGATGTAAAAGCATCCCCAGTTACACATTCTCCCTTGAATTTTTTGGGCACAGGCCCTAATCCGGAATCACTGAAGCTATGGGACTCGGGCCAAACTCCTGAAAATAAGAAGTAATAAAATTTCTATTGGAGTGATGATGATGATAGTGATAGTAAAACAAGATTCAACAAAGTACAAATTTATTGAACACTTACCAGTGTCGACGACACCAACTATAACATTGGACTTCACCTCCATTGGCAGTTGATTATACTGTTGAATATAGTCTATTCCCAAAAATTGCCATGAATGTGTTGTGTGGATCTTATTCATTCTGCTCTCAAACACAGATACAACTGAATTTCTTTCTGCAGCGCATATAACCAAAATCATAAGAACTAGGATAGACACATTTATAGTGTAATAGATGATTTTTATTCAGTTGGTCATTACCAATGATAACTGTGACTGTTTGTAGGATTTCAATAGGTCAAGAGTTTTTAGATATGTTGATATCGCAGCACATTCTGTATATTTCTGTCTTGGTCGGGTAAAATCTCAGGTAGTCTGGTGTGAATCATATTCGGCCTATAGGTTGATAGAAATGAGCACAGAAAATTTGAGCCATGTTCCTTAATAATTGAAGTGTTCTCTGCAGTCCTAGTGTTATTCATATTTCCTGCAATATTTATTCTCTCTCTTTTTTCTTTGTCTTTTTACCATTGCATTCGTCAATCAGGATATATAATGGCATATAATTTGTTCCCTCGTGGTGTTGAGAAGACATGAGCATGGACTTGGGCAGACCTGCTAGTTGTTGAGCTTGATCTGTTGTAAGCATAGCGGAGAAGCCCCTGAAACTTTTTGTGTAATGGTGAACTGCAACTTCTTGTGCTCCATGAATACTAAAATTCCATTGAAGGGAACAGTTAACATTAAGTTTTTATGGGAAACTTATTATCATCTATTCTTCTCTTTTGCTAAAGATTGGCATGACAGTTTTATATCTTTGATTTTGCATTCACTGACATATATGAAGAACTGGAATGGAAATTGAGATAAAGAGTAATGATCTGTCTTACTGTCATACCTTCCAACAATTGAAGCGAGCACCTCATGGTTTGCTGTGATCACCGATTCTGAATTGGGGTGTGAGTGATGCCCCATGTAGACAATGTAATGCTGCAGATTAATAGAAAATGCACCAAATTAGTGGTCATACACTTGTTTGCTTGCTTAATGGTTTATTCAGCTTGACTCTTACTTTGATAATATCTCTTGATGCACAAAGGTTGAAATTGATTCAAACAACTTGAAACATAGAGTGTTTTACATGTGTATTCTATATGCTCTTAATTTGATAATAAACACATACATACTTGGAGAAATTAGTGTTGTATGTAGTTATTGGATATTTTCTTTGCTTTGAGCTGATCACTGCTGTTTTGGGTATACTTTTATACTTGTAACTACTTTGTAAAACCATTTGGATACTAATAGTAACTCGCGCAACATAAGTGATGAAATAATGACTCTCGGTTCTCTTGTTCTCTCTTTTATCATATGCACAAATACACACACACAAAAGGGCACGATCACACACATATACACGATACTTTTGTGTTAGCGATGACTCCATGAACCAATGGAAACCTAAAGAGAAAGAGAAGAGTGAAAAGTTTAACGAATTTCATAGTGTTAGAATAAATCCTGCTAATGACTGACATGGTGTCTGAGCATTTCCTTCTAAGCAAATGACAGAGTACACAAGTAGGTGTGGTGGAAGAAGATTAGACGGTGGTGACATTTGTGGTTGGATATAAGTCTCCTCCTTTGAGAAAAGGGTTAATCGTAAATTACACTCCGAAAGATCATTCAAATTTCAATTTATATTTTTAAAGATTAAAAATTTTAATTTACACCTTGAAAGATAAAAATTTGTATCAATGTATACCTAAAACTAACCGTCGTCAATTTGCTGCCTAAAACTAAATTGATAAATTATACCTAGATACCCTCATACTTGTCATTTAATAACACGTAACCCTTTTTCGTTACTATTTGAATGTCTAATAGAATAAATGATTACACATTGAGTGATATATTGCATTGGATATAAAACATTATATAAATATCTACATTCTATTGGGTATTCAAATGGTAAGCTTGATTTTAAACTTTAGAATATATCGGACCCAAAAAATAAAGGGTAATATGAAATTATAATTTTTTATTAGGATAAAATCATATTTTTTAATGCTTATATTAACAAATATCAACGAAAAGTGGTTATGTGTTACACATGCACAAATGTCATGAGATGTATGAGTAATATTCTAAATGTGAAAAAGTCCAAATGATTAAGTGACAAACATGAGGAGATCTAGACATAATTTCTCAATTTAATTTTAGGCAGCAAATTAACGGCAGTTAGTTTTAGGTACATATTGATACAAATTTCTATCTTTTAAGGTGCAAATTGAGATTTTTGATATTTGAGAGTGCACATTTATACAAATTTTTATCTTTGAGGGTGTAAATTGAGATTCGAACGATCTTTCAGGGTGTAATTTATAATTAACCCTTGAAAAAATTGAACTTTCTAATCAAAATACAAAAATCCTCAAAAAAAAATAATATTATCCAAATGCCACTTTTCCTGATCTTGGCCACAAGATCACACATTTGCTAAAGAACAAAAACAAGAGTACTAAAACTAGTTGATGGACCAGGTCTAATGACTCAACTCAGGTTGAAAGTCTACTTTAAATTAAGAGTTCAACTTAAGAGTGATCTAGTAAGTCCAGCCCAAAGGGGTGCACACCCGGTCCAGCTCACCAAGGGAGTAGGCAGGGTCTATGAGAGTCTCATCTACGCCGCCTTAGAAAGAGTCAACCCCCACATCATCCTTTGACCGATTTTTATGGAGAGCACCGTAATTACCTCATTCGTTGAGAAGAGGACGCCAACTTCACCAGATTAGTCACTTAGGTACTAGTAACTCGCCCTAATCTATTATAAGACGACTATAAATTGTAAGTCCCGCCAACACTTGGAGGTTACCACACTCAATCAAGCACATATTTGTAACTCTCATTGCTTGTATCTCTCTGCTGTCCCTACACTACTCAAAGTAATAAAATACTTAAGTGACCCTAGCCTTCAAAGTGGACGTAGGTCAAGTTGACCGAACCACTATAAATCCTTGTCTTGCTTGTGTCTTCATCTCTCACTTCTTAATTATTGGATTTATTATTGATCACTTGACTGGTGGTGTGCAAACTCAATTTGTGCATCATCAGTTTGACACCATATGTGAAAACGACAAAATTCTCACCTGAGTACATCTCTTGTTGTACCTATGGCAATCACCACCAAATCCATGATTCAGCCTGAAGATAATCTACCACAAGAGGAGGAGGTTGCTCCTTCACCAACCAATCCTGTTCCAAATACACAACAGATGCTAGAGACAATACAACAGCTCGTATCCTAGAATCAGCAAATCCTGCAACTGATGCTCGCTAGACAACAAGGAAGAGAACTGCCCGGAGGACCTCAAACTAGAGGAGCTCCATGCCCTAGGCATCAAGGAGCTCCCCATTTGGGGGCGCCCCACACAGGGGAGCCCACCATGAGGGACCTCCACCTCCTCCTCTAGCTTCTTCTTCTCATGGTGGAAACCTAAATTTTCGAGAGGATGAGGACAAAAACCAAAGCGTGGAGCATGAGAGCCATTTCCAAGACAATTCGAAAGGAGCTCCTAACAATTGGGACACAAAAAATCAAAGAAGTGCAGAATCAGTTAGACGACATCTTCAACGCTATGAAGGCACAAGGACCAAAAATCGTCGATTACCTGGTAAGGCGAACCAACACACCCTTCATACCAGATGTGGTGAACTACCCATTTCCATAAAATTTGAGTCTAAATTTGAGTCATGGTTAAAAATGCTTTAACATCAATAGAATTGCAAAATTTTGAGGTGAAGATGTTGAGTTCATTGGTTGATTAAACTATGAGATACTATTATGTTAACCTAAACCTGTTCTCAAATCCAGAGAGAAAGACCTATTTAAAAAACAACATCTAGAAAGATGAAGAGCGACAAAGACGACGACGATACTTTTACTATCAATATGCCGCCGCTCAACCATCATAACCACCACCCTCTTCCTCCACCGTCACCAAAATCGACAGAAGCGGAGGGCTAGCCCCATCTAAATCCACCATCTACGTCTCAAATGTCGATTACTCCCTTACAAACTCAAACCTCCACACAATCTTCTCCACCTTCAAAAAAGTGACCAAAGTCACCGTCCTTAAAGACCGCCAGACCCGCCAAAGCCGTGGTGTCGCTTTCGTTATGTTTGTGTTCTCAAGAAGATGCTATTAAAGTTGCCAAAGGGATAAATGGAAAGGTTCTTAATGGTCGAACCCTAAAGGCTTTTATTGCCTCCGATAATGGTCGCGCCTCGGAGTTTATAAGGAGAAAGGTGTATAAGGATAAGAGTAGGTGTTATGAGTGCGGGGAAAGTGGGCATTTGTCGTATGAGTGTCTGAAGAATTTGTTGGGAAAGCGGGGAAAGACCGATGCCAAAAAGGGCATGAAGAGGTGGTGGCGTTGGGGGTGGGGGTGGGGTTGATCGGGGTGAAGGGGAGTGGGAGGAGGATGGTGGTGGGGATGTGTGGGAGGAAGAGAATTGGGCATCAGTGGTGGATAATAGGGCGAACCGACACACCCTTCATACCAAATGCCATCTGTATAAATTTTTGATGGTACAAATGACTCACTTGATCACCTCGAAACCTACAAGACCTTAATGCAGCTGCACAACGTCCCCAAAGAAATTATGTGTGAGGCATTCTCAACTATCATGAAGGGATTAGCGCGACAATGGTTTGCCAAACTCACCCCGGCCTTCATAGGCTCTTTCGCCGAACTGAGCAGATCCTTTGTGGCATAGTTCATTAGTGGACGTCGTCAGCAGAAGCCTATCACCCACCTGCTTAGCATAAAGCAGAATCGGAATGAGAGCCTGAGGAGCTACCTCACTCGTTTTAAAGAAGGGGTCCTCCAGATTGAGGAGCCCGACGACAAGGTCACCATGACCGCATTTTTGGGAGGCTTACGCTCATCTAGCTTTCTCTTCTCAATGATGAAGCACCCACCAAAGAGCATGCCAGAATTGTGGGCAAAAGCTCAGAAATACATAAACGTCAAGGATGTCCCCAAAGTCAGGTGAGGTGAGTCCTCGCGATCATCATCATCACCCGACTGTAAAAAAAGAAGTCACAAAGGTACAAACATTAACAAATTTTGTGGCTGGCTCACACTGCTTGAGGAGAAAGATTGTTAAGAAGACTCAACACCAGCCGCCCAACAGTCAGGAGCCCAGCACCAGGTGCTTAGGCACCCAACACTCAAGCGCCCAGTTCCTCACCGCCCTCCTCATCTCCATCTATTAAAATGAGCCTCCGACTTGGTGACCCTCTCATGGGCTAACTCTCAAATCTACCTCTACTTTCATGCGGGCAGCCTCACAGTCAGTATATCTTCAGCTTAACGGCTCTCTCGTAGGTCATCAAAAGTTTGGTCTGTCTTTACTCTACTCTCAAGCAGACAACCTATCTCCAGCTTAGCAACTCTTTCACGAGTTGCCCAAAAGGTTGACCTATCTCTGCTCTACTCTCAAGCAGATAACCTATCACCAACTTAACGACTCTCTTGCAAGTCCGCCAAAAACTGTTGGGTTTCCCTCCTTTGTGGGACTCATCAATTTGCTAATTTTTTGGTGGCTTACCCGTGTAGGACTCTTATACAAGACTTGGTTTGGAGTCTTCTAGTTAAAAAGGAATTTGGCAGCCACCAAAGACTATAAGTTTTGTCCTTTTCTTTGGTTTATTTTTTCTCGGTTGGTTAGGCAAGAAGACATATTTTTCGGCAGTCTTTGGTTCAACAAAAATTCAGCCTTCTTCTTCTCCTTTTTTGGTGACAGAAAAATCTGCAAAATTGTTCTTCAAGTGGGTAATATTTCTTCACTTGATATTTGGGTTTCTTGCGGTTTGTTCTTGGAGATTTGGTTCACTTATTTTGTGAGGTATTTTCCTCTTGTGATTTACACCTTGGTGTGTTTGTAAGGCTTATGCCTTTTGGCCACTTTGTAATCTGATTTGGTGATAGTGGAAGAAACTGACCTACCGGTCGTCGTGGATGTACCTCAAGTTATTTGAGGGAACCACGTAAATCTTGTGTGCTTATTTATTTTCTGTTATTTTATTTATATTGCTTCCATTGATTTACACTTGTGGGAAAGCCTATTTTCCCAACATCTGGTATCAGAGCAATTGGTTAATTCGGTTCCGATTCGTTATATTTCTGTGTGTGAATTATGGACGGCAACGTTGGACGTATGGTTAGTTTCAATGGCACAAATTGGGTGACTTGGAAAACTAAAATGGAAGATCTTTTATTTTGTAAAGATTTGAATGGACCCATAGAGGGTGATAGTGGCAAACCGGAAGGGATGAAAGATGACGAGTGGAAAAAGCTAGACCGGAAAGCTGTCGGTTTTATTCGGCAATGGATTGATGATAGTGTCTTTCATCATGTCTCTACAGAAAAATCTGCACATGGTCTTTGGACCAAATTGGAGAGTTTGTATGATAGAAAGACGGCAGTGAATAAAGCCTTTTTATTTCGAAAGCTTGTGAACTCTAAATATAAGGAGGGTACTTCTATTGCAGAGCATTTGAATGAGATTAAGAGCATTGTGAATCAGTTGGCCGCCATGAAAATTACTTTTGAT